GGCATTATGAATTTTTAGTAATGTCTTTTGGGTTGACTAATGCTCCAACTACATTTATAGACCTCATGAATAGGTTATTCAAGCCATTTTTGGATACTTTTGTTATCGTGGTCATAGATGATATTTTGGTGTACCCCCGAATCAAGAAAGCGCATACAGGACATCTCCGACCATGTGCTATCCAGTGAAGGGATAATGAGTTGTATGCCAAATTTTCTAAGTGTGAATTTTGGTTGCAATCTGTGGCATTCCTAGGCCATGTGGTATCTAGTGAAGGGATAAAAGTTGATCCTCAAAAGATAAAAGCGTTCAAGAGTTGGCCAAGGCCGATGACACTAACAGAGATTAGGAGTTTCTTAGGACTAGTTGATTACTATAGAAGGCTTGTAGAAGGATTTTCTGCGCTAGCAGCACCATTGACCAAACTGACCCAGAAAGCTGCTAAGTTTTAGTGGTCTGATGCTTGTGAGCAAAGTTTTCAAGAATTAAAGAAGAGGTTGACTACTGCACTAGTTTTAGAATTATTGCCGGTCTCGGGCGGCTACACAATATATTGTTACACTTCAAGAGTTGGACTCGATTGTGTCCTAATGCAAAATGTGAAGGTCATTGCTTATGCATCGAGACAATTTAAAATCATGCAAAAAATTACCCTACCCACGATCTAGAACTGTCCACAGTTGTGTTTGCCATGAAGATATGGCGACATTACCTTTACGGTGAGCATTATGGAGTATTCATAGATTATAAGAGCCTCTAGTAAATTTTCAAGCAAAAAGAGTTGAATCTAAGGCAAAGGATGTGGTTGGAGTTATTGATGGACTATGACATAAATATCTTGTACTACCCCGGAAAGGCTAATGTGGTAGCTGATGCTCTTAGCCATAAGTCTGTGCACGTTTTAGCACCTTAACGAGCTGAGAAGAAGCCATTGGCAAAAGAAGTGCAAAAATTGTCCAACAATGAGGGAATCAGAATTGATGAGACTAAAGAGGGTAACTTGAATGTGTTCCATAAGGCTCAATAATCATTGATGGTTAGGATAAAAGAGCGACGGTATGAAGATCCAAACATGCAAGCAATCAAAGATGGGGTGTTAAATAAAGAAATTTCAGCCTTCATTCCTAGGGACAATGATGGTATCCGAAGAATGAATGGAACGTTATGTGTCCGAATGTTAGTGGACTTCGAGAGTATGTTATGAGTGAGGCGCATAGCTATGGCTATTCTATCCACCTAGGCTCGACCAAAATGCACAAAGATCTGAGAAAAATGTACTGCTGGAATAGGATGAAAGAAGATGTAGCTAATAATGTGGCTAGGTGCATAAACTTCCAGAAGGTCAAAGTCGAACACCAAAAGCATGGTGGCCTAGCTCAAAATATAAAAATTCCTGAATGGAAGTAGGAGATGATCAATATGGATTTTGTAGTTGGGTTGCCCCGCACCGCCGTAAGTATGACTCTGTGTGGGTGATTGTAGACAAGTTTACAAAGTCTTCTCACTTCCTGCCAGTGAAGACCACCTACACAGTTGAATAATATGCTGAGTTGTACATTAAAGAAATTGTATGATTGCATGGCTCTCCAGTTTCCATCATTTTCGATAGGGGCGCAGTTCTCAGCAAGGTTTTGGCAGTATTTTCAAAATAGATTCAGGACAAAGGTGAACTTGAGTACCGCTTTCCATCCCCAAACTGATGAACAAGCAGAGAGAACCATCAGACCCTTGAAGATATGTTGCGGGCTTGTGCAATTGATTTTGGTGCAAATTGGGATTAACACTTACCCTTAATAGAGTTCTCGTACAATAATAGCTACCAATCGAGTATTAGTATGGCTCCTTATGAAGAGTTATACGGGTGTCATTGTAGATCTCCAATAGGGTGGTTTAAACCAATAAAGATACCCTTGATAGGACCAGAGTCGGTCCAAGATGCTTTGGAAAAAGTGAGAACTATTCAAGAAAGGCTTAAAATAGCTCGGAGTCGACAAAAGTCTTATATAAATAAGAAACGTAGGGATACAAATGTCTAACACTAAAGTGTTATATAACGAAGTTTAATTTGTGTGGAGTTGCTAGTCTTTAGCAGGCTTCGCCTTACGTGGAGACACTCAACATAGACACGACATCTTATGTAATTTCCTGCCTCTTTTTCTCTTCTTCATACATTCATTTATCTTTTGATGTTTTAACTGTCCCTCTCTATATTGAAACCCTGTAGAGTAGAATGCAAACATGTCTTTAGTCCTCAATAAGAATCTTTTTTTACTACTAAAGTTTCATAATGATCTACTCATGACTTTTTATTTTTTCCATGATAAAGTGTCGCTCTGAAAGATCTTTGGTTTAGTGGTAAAATCGCTAGTGGTAAGTGTGTAGCATATGACGTGTGGGTTAGGTACATCTCATAGGCTCGAAATATACCACAAATAAAGCCTAATATTTTAGTGTAGAAGGATGGAGGGGCAGGCTCAATATTCACTATGTTTTGAACTGTGCGCCATTGGCCGGCGAGGATTTCTTAGTTGTAAAAAAGGATTAACACTATTAAAGAAAAAGAAAAAAAAGAATGACAAACTCAACCTCTTTCATACTTAGCTTGGTTTACACTCTCCGTGAATCTTGTGAATCGTAATATGCTATCATTAGCATATTTATGCAATACATAAGTTCTATTAAGCGTTGGACTCGTATTTGATCTAAGATTATATTGTCTATCTCCAGGATACTTGTATTTATGGCCGCTTTAAGTCAAGTTATTTGTGCAAAGGAGATGAAATCTATTTTGAGAGCTGGATTTCAAACATGACTGTTCCCAATCTCAAGAGCGTTAAGATTGTCTACTCCATTAGAATGTGTTGCGAGCCAAATGATAAGCTTTTCACACTTTCGGAATTTCTGCTAAAGAATGCAATGGCTTTGGAGAAGTTCGTTCTCGCAGCAAAGAGAAGAATGTGTTGGATTTGTAATTCTAAGGAATTCGTGCCCCCATGTTCGTCGTCACGATTGGCTTCAAATTTGTTAGCTTGTCGAAGACCCTCCACCAATTGTATGATCACTTTCCATTAGTCAAATCTCAATGACTAGAATGGAAGTTGTTTTTGTTTCTTGGCACACCAGAAATATATGTTTTATCTTTTCATTTACTGCTTATGAATTATGAATCTTTAACTTATTGTAAATAAAAAATAATGCTCTTTTTATAAGCCGGCCTTATGGCATGCCAAGGCTTACGGATGCCTTATTTCTTATCAAGTGTTGGTTTGTACTCTAGACGTTGTACTTGTGTTAACATAAGAAGAAAGCAGAAGAGATAAGAAAGATTGAGAACCAGACCTTACGCCATATTTGCTAAGAGCAGAAGCTTCGAGAGCATCGATATTCTGTATATCTGAAAATGAATCAAGTGTCTTATTACATACATGGGTCTCACTATTTATAGTGACCCGGAAATATGAAGGAAATACAATTAATGGGCCCCTAACTCCTAATCTATACATTTGGGCCAAATTATAAATACAAAGAGTAAAAATAGACTAGGCCCAAAAATATTAACCAGCATCTAATTTGCCAATTCTAACAGCCCCCCTCAAGTTGGAGAGTGACAAAACCCCCAACTTGCGAGTGTGGAAGTGATGAGCAGGACCAGGGAGAGCCTTGGTAAGTAAATCAGCAGCTTGAGAGGCACTAGGAGTGTGACAAGAGAGAGATACGATTTTTTGCAATGTGAAGGGCAGCTTGGCTATCGCAAAATACAGGCACAGGAGAGGAAAGAAGTACACCAAAATCAGACAACAACCTGGAGAGCCAAGTAACTTCAGCCACGGCCTTACTCATAGCCCTATACTCAGCCTCTGCTGAGGAAAGAGAAACCACAGGTTGCTTCTTGGATTTCCAACCCACCAGGCTGCCTCCAAGGAAGATGCAGAACCTAGTGACTGATCTCCTACTGTCAGGGCAGGAGGCCTAGTCACTATCACAGAACACCTGTAAAGACATAGCAGGATCATTATTGTAAAAGATCCCAGAATCAGCTGAACCCTTGAGATATCTGAGAAGATGAAGAGCAGCCTTCATGTGTAGTATGCAAGGCTGCTGCATAAACTGACTCAAATGTTGGACTGCAAAACTGAGGTCAGGTCTTGTATGGGTCAAAAAATTCAGCTTGCCTATGAGACTTCTATACTATTCAGGTTTAGGGAAAAGTTTACCTTCCCTAGCCTTCAACCTCGCATTCAATTCAAGGGGACATGTGACAGGGGTATATTCAAGAGAGTGAAACTCATCTAAGAGGTCATGAATAAATTTCCTTTGATATAGCAAAACCCCAGAAGAAATGTAGAGAACTTCAATACCAAGAAAGTAGTTAAGAGACCCAAATCCTTGATCTTGAACTGATCATGGAGAAAGCTCTTTAGGGCAGAAATTTCTGACAAATCAGTACCAGTTAGGATAATGCCATCTACATAAACACCCAATATAACCAAGGAAGCCCCAGATCCCTTAGTGATGACAGAATAGTCATTGAGAGAATGCATATAGCCTCTGAAAGAGGGAGCTTGAGACAGCTTAGCATACCATTGTCTGGAAGCTTGTCTCAACCCATAAAGGGATTTCTGGAGCTTGCAAACCAAAGAAGTATAAGAAGTGGAAGCAGGAATAGACAGTCCAGGAGGAAGCTTCATAAAAACCTCTTCATCAAGATCACCATGCAAGAAGGCATTATTGACATCAAGCTGGAACAAAGACCATTGTTGCTTGATAGCCATAGCAATTAAGGTCTTAATAGTGGACATTTTCACAATAGGGGAGAATGTTTCATGAAACTCAACCCCTTCCACTTGAGTGTCACCCCTGACCACCAACCTAGCCTTGTACCTTTCTATACTACCATCAGCCTTATATTTCACTTTATAAACTCATTTGCACCCAATAGGCTTCTTGCCATGTGGCAGCTCCACAATGTCCCAAGTCCCATTGGCTTCCAAAGCCTCAAATTACTTCCTCATGGCATCTTGCCACTCAAGAATAGTGGCTGCTTGGGAATATGAATGTGGCTCTGGGATATGCAACTGACCAATGGAGGGGACTGAAATAGAGTTGGAGGATGAGGATTGACAAACATAGCTATTGAGGTAACTAGGGGGGTTATGTGGTCTAGAGGATCTTCTCAAAGTAGGTAATGGAGAAGAAGAAACAGGAACAGAATGATCAATATGTGAAGAATCAGGAGGGGAAGAAGCATGGGAAACATGAGGTGAAGTAGGAGCAGGATGTAAAATAGGAGATGGAGGATCAATAGATGAAGAAGAAGCAGGTGAAGTAGAAGGAGGAGGTACAGAACAGTCAGTATCAAAACAAGTAGATAGAGGAGAAGAAAGAATGTGAGAAGGCTGATTAGAAGCCTTGAAGAATGGAAAGATGTGTTCTAAGAAAATGACATCTCTAGAGATGAAGCAGGTTTTGGAGGTGAGGCTACAGAGTTCATAACCTTTCTTAGCAAAGGGATAACCCACAAATACACATGGTATAGATCTGGGAGAAAATTTGTCCTTGTGCAACTTAGTTATAGTAGAGTAACACAAACAACCAAAAGCTTTAAGATAAGAGTAGGAAGGAACAGAACCATATAACAACCCATAAGAACTTTTGTGATTCAGGAGAGGGGATGGAAACCTATTGATCAAGTAGGTTGCAGTTAGAAGACAGTCACCCCAAAATCTAATTGGAAGATGGGATTGAAATAACAGGGCTCTGGCAGTTTCAAGCAAATATCTGTGCTTCCTTTCCACCACTCCATTCTATTGAGGAGTGTGTGGACAGGAAGTCTGATGTTGAATTCCTTTTTCAGAGAAGAAAATAGAACTTGAAGTAGTAGACCCCAATTCTAAGGCATTATCACTCCTAACAGCCTGAAACTTAGTATGGAATTGAGTTTTAACCATGACAATGAAAGCCTTGAGTAAATCAAAAGCATTACTCTTGGCTCTCATAAGGTGGGTCCAAGTGGCCCTTGAGAAATCATCAAGAATGGTCAAGAAATATTTGGAACCATTATAGGTGGGTGTGTGATAAGGTCCCCAAGTATCTATGTGAATTAATTGGAATGGGTGAGTGGACTGTATACTACTATCAGGGAAAGGCGGTCTTGTTTGCCTGGCTAATGGACAAACACGATAGCTAAAGGATTGTTTAAGAGTGAAATTTACAATCTAAAGCAGATATAGTCTTCAGCTTAGAGAAAGGAATATGCCCAAGTCTGTAATGCCAAACAACTTCAGCTTTATTCATATCATCAATAGCTGATATGATATTTAAGGGTGAGCATTCATCAATTACGCTAGCATGAACAGAAGAATTAGAAACTTAAACATTTGAAAGAACAGAATGATTAGGAGAAGAAAAATCTGGGTTAGGAGCAATGAGAGACTGGAACAACTTATAGAGTCCATTGTCCAGCTTACCAAGTACCACTGGCTTCCTCACTGAAGGGCCCTGTAAAGTACAAGCAGCTTTGGTAAACTGTACCATGTCATCAGAATGAGAAAGTAATTTGTGGACAGAAATGAGATTATACTGAAAGCTAGGAACATAAAGTACATTGTGCAATATCAAATCAGGCAATAGAGCCAATGACACAATATTGGTAACCTTGACTTTATAACCATTAGGAAGAGAGACAAGGTATGGAACAAGTAAGGTTTGGACATCAAAGAGTAAACTTTTTGTGCAAGTCATATGGTCAGAAGTCCCAAAGTCTATGATTCATACTATACCATCCACTTTGGTCAACATACATGCACCATAAGACACACCAGGAGGAATTAACTCACCAGCAAAATTGGCTGACCCCATCAGGCTTGAATTAGATGGAGAATGAGACAGGTGTGACTGTTGAAGCAACATCATCAATTGAGAGTACTGATCCTTGGTAAGCCCAGCGATAGCAGACATATCTTCGGACTGTGGAAGAGTACCATGCTCAGTAGGGATGTCACCAGTCCCAAATTCAGGATGGTTGGTGAGCTCAACATGTGCAGCTGTCTTTCTAATGTTAGGAGTTTTAGTGAACTTGAAACTTGGGGGATAACCATGGAGTTTGTAGCATTTTTCTGTCGTGTGTCCAGGTTTCTTACAATACTTGCAGGTGACATTTGGTTTAGATGATTCAAAATTCACTTTAGAAGGATAACTCTGCCTGGACACTCCAACATTAAAGAATGCAGAAGTAGAAAGAAACTGAGTTGCAGCAGACACATTCCCTGCTTCTCATCAGACAATAGAATGCTCTACATAGCCCCAACTGAAGGAAGTGGTTTCATCATGAGAATATTGCTTCTGGTTTAGACATATGTATCATTTAATCCCATTAAGAACTGATAAGCCCTCTGTTCCTCATCTTCAGCAGACTTAGCCCCACAAGAACACACCCTAGTTCGACCAGCAGATATGGAAGCTATTTCATCCCATAACTGTTTGATTTTGTTGAAATATGAGGCTATGTCAAGAGACCCCCGGGAAATATGTGCTAACTCTTTCTTAAGTTCAAAAACTCTAACACCATCAGCCTTACCATATCTCTCTTCTAACTTATTCCAAATTTTCCTAGCAAACTCTGAATACTCCGCACTGCGAGATATTTCTTTAGACAAGGAGTTTACTAACCAGGAAATGACAAGGTCATTGCACCTCTGCCACTGTCTGGCAAGAGGTGAAGTAGGTGAAGATTTCTGGGAGTTTCCATTTATAAAATCTAGTTTGTTTCTAATTGAAAGTGCAACAGGAATATTACGCCTCCAACTTCCATATCATGTTCCATCAAACGGAGTGGAGACCAACGAGGTCCCCAAAACATCTAATGGATGCACATAGAGAGGATGACATGGATGAGTATAATCATCCTCATGGAAGACATTGCGAGAAATAGCAGGAGTTGAAGAAGAATCAGGAGTTCCGTTGGTCATGTTATGAGATTGACAATCAATTATACATAGAACCTAAGTCATGCAAGTAGAGATACAAAGATGCAGTGAAAGATGAAGTTGATATTACCAATCTCTTTCGCAATCGGAAAGAGCTACGACGTTCAACTAGAAAAGCACCTCAATATTAACCGCCATCATAGAATTCTGATACAAGCAGAACCCTAATTTCGGTCGAAATCCTTGAAATCGTCTGAAAATAAAATTCACTGCTGCTATGCACTGGAGGAGATGGTTGAACACGATATTGGAGAAGAAATCGAGCAAAAAACCACCACCAAACCACGAATTCTCAAAAAATCAGAAAATCAAACGAAGTATACATAAAACCAACGAGAGAGGATGAGTGCGGGATCAATCGAATTCTCAGCACGAGATTTAGATGGATCTCGGCTCTGATACCATGTTAACATAAGAAGAAAGCAGAAGAGATAAGAAAGATTGAGAACCAGGCCTTACGCCATGTTTGCTAAGAGCAGAAGCTTCGAGAGCATCGATATTCTGTATATCTGAAAATGAATCAAGTGTCTTATTACATACATGGGCCTCACTATTTATAGTGACCCGGAAATAGGGGTGTTCATGGTTCGGTTTGGATCGGTTTTTCCCTAAAAAGAACCAAACTAAGTAAGTCGATTTTTCAAATATTAGAACCAAACCAAACCAATTAAGTCGGTTTTTTCTCGATTCTGTTTATGTCGGGTTTTGTCGGTTTTTCGGTTTTTTCGGTTATTTGTCGGTTTTTTCTTAAATATAGAACATACACTACCAAACACATATTTCGGCGACCACATTTTCAACGTAGCACTATCAAATCAATTGCCCTTTGAGAAATCCATTATTTACCAAGATATATTGATGATGATTGAATCAAATAGTGATGAATAATTTTAAGGACTCAACTAAAGATATATTATTTTTAACACGAAATGGATTCTTACACTTAACAAAAGAAAACTACCAATCAAACTAGAATGTAAAGGTAAAGAACTATACCAAAAGTGCAAACTATTAACATTTACCATAAAAAATTTGAAACTTTGTATAAAAATATACATATATATAGGTGTAATAATAAATTTGAAATAGCTACTCCTATAGACGGGTTGGTTCGGTTTTTTTCGGTTTTTTTTTTTATTAAAACCAAAACCAAACCAAGTTTGATCGGTTTTTAAAATTCAAAACCAAAACCAAACCAAACCAAAAAGTATCGATTTTATTGGTCGGTTTGGGTTGGTTTTTGGTTTTGTTCGGTTTTTCGGGTTTTTATGAACACCCCTACCCGGAAATATGAAGGAAATATAATGAATGGGCCCCTAACTCCTAATCTGTACATTTGGGCCAAATTATAAATACAAAGAGTAAAAATAGACTAGGCCCAAAAATATTAACCAGCATCTAATTTGCCAATTCTAACAACTTGTGCTTGAAATTTTCGTTCAATTTTTCGTGGATGGGCATATCGAGAAATTATATCTTTTCGATAATTAGACTCATTAATGTTTTGACTTGCTAGCTTTGTCACATAGCATCAAATTTCTTTGATTGGGATGGTTCCTTATTTTGGCTTTTTCTTGTTTTTGGTATATCTTTTATATTCTTCTTCATTTTGGTTATACAGAATAATCAGTAACTAAATGTACGTATTTTTCTGATTAAGATGTAATTAAATGTTTATCATGAATCTTTCTGATTAGTACGTAAGTAGTGAAAGGAGGAAAAAGTAGAAGTTTTTTTATTTTTTGGGATAAGATTAGAACCTTATATTTCACTCATGTAGGAGAATTGCAACCACTGCTGTAGTTCTAGTCTCATCTGCATTCCTAAACACAAGGTAAGTTGACATGGAAGTAGGCTTCGAGCTAAAATGAAAAAAATATGATAAGGAATGGTTTCTCCTTTAGTAGATCTTACGTGGTAAAATTCGATATAGTCGGGTTTCAATATGAGTACAGAACACTAAGGGGTCGTTTTGTTGGGGAACAAATTATGTCAGGAGTAATTAATCCAAGATTAGTTATCCTGGGATAGTTATCCCACCTCTCATTGGGTGAGCAGGTTGAAGAGAGCTCTAACAGGCCTTGGAGGACTGAACCCACATATGTGCCAAAATACGGGGCTACAAACTCGAGATTAGTTATCCCGCGATATTGATCTAATCAAACGTAAGATAAACTCATCTTAAATTTAAACCCGAGATTAATAATTCGTTATACCTCGTAACAAACGAGTCGATAAGTTGGGAAACAAAAAGAAAAAGATATCAGAAGCATTATTTTATTGTTTTAATATATCTAAAAGCTTCTAGATTTTGGATTGAAAACATGGTGCTACATTGATTTAAATGTGATCGCCTTTTGTTTTTCCAATGTGGATATTATTCGCATCAAATTGGCAAATTTTCACATCGTCCCACAATCTGATTTGATTCTTTGCAAGAAGTGGAAAGTAAGAAAACAGACAAACCAAATAGAATAAAAACAGGAAAGAAAGAGGAGGTAAAAATTGTACCATCTTCAGATAAAGAAGAAAACTAGCACAAAAATGGAATCTTTTACGAACTTAGCACAAAGTACAAAAACAAACACACCCAACAACAACGTACTTTCTTATTCTTGTTCCTTCAAATGTTTTTTTAGCACGATGATTATTTCTCTTGCCTTCCTCCTAATAATCGGTTATTAACTTATTATATAAAATAAAGTTAATGTAATTACTTGAATTCATCTGAGTTAAGTCACTTGGATTTATATAAATATAAAATCTTAAGATATTAAATGGCAAGAGTAAATTTCACATAAAGTACCTGAAATTTAACCTACAGCGCAGTGAAGTTATAAAATTATTTTTTTGTCACATTAAAGTACTTGGTTAACTTAACTTTGTATAAATTCTAAGAAATTACAAATGACCGAAAGGCAAATTTGCAGCGTTGAATTATGACACATCACTTGCATGGTCATCTGTTTGCAACTCTGTGAATTCCATACTAGAAAAAAAAAATTATTAATGAATGACTTCTATACTGTAATTTTTTTTTTTTTTTTTTTTGGGTTTCATTTAGATGTTTTCTTATTGTCTGTTGTTTAAAATATGCATACTTGGATAGTCAAAACTTTTTACATGGGGCAATTCTTTTAAATTTCTTAACGTGGGTAAACTATGTATATTATATATTCAAAGTAAAATTAACCCTAACATATTACAAATGTCATTTGGTATACTAAGATTTTATGTTCATAAAATCAAATTACTTAATATAGACGAAACCAAATAATCATTTACCTTTAGTTATTAGATTGTGCATTAGTACTTATCACAAAAATTTATATGTAATTAACTTACAAATAATTCAATTGTAGAAATACTTCTTTATATTACTGATATTTGGCTAAAAATACATATAATACGATAATAATTGCCTCATATCTTACTATGGTAATAATTAAAGTGCATTGAGAAGTTTTGAGCTTAATTGTATTATATACCTGTGTAGGAGTGACTGGAATAAGAGTGAAGAAAAAAAATAAAGCAGAGCTATATACCCGATTAATTATTTAAATTTAATTATCATCATATTGTGCATTGGCACTTATTGCAGAAATTTATATGTAATTAACTTATAAAAAATTTAATCATAGAAATAGTTTTTAATTTTATATTATCAAAGTCTAAAAATATGTAAAGGTGCCAATTGCCAAGTCGTGTTCGGTCAACATTTAGCCCCAGCGTACTATTGTGTAGGTTACAGAGGCCGTCCATAAGATGCCACTGACAATGATTTTGTGCTAATTATTGGATACCCCAAATTGGTTAGAGCTGTCGTTTGGCTAAATAAAGGCAGACATTATAAGCCACTTGGCACAAACCATTTTGGGCCCAAGTCACTGCCTTTTTTTAGTATTCAAATTGCAAAGAATTCATTCAGAAGAAAGTTTAGCCATGGAAAGAGCATTGGAATGGTTAAGGCCACTTGTTGATTCCAACAATTGGGAATATTGTGTTGTTTGGAAGTTGGGTGATGACCCTTCTAGGTAAAAGTTTATGTAAAAAGATTTTTCTTTTTATTTGCATGTACGTTTGACATAAAAGAAGCTTCTAGTGTTGTGGCAATGGTGGTTCGAAAATTGCTTTACGTAGCAAAATGGAATCCCAACTGTGATGTTCTTGAATTTTTTGTTCTGCCACTGTAGTGAAAATGAGTGGAATGTGTATGAGAAATTGTCTTTGTGTGTGTTTAGGTTTATAGAATGGATAGGATGTTGCTGTTCTGGAGCTAAAGGAGTTGATGTCAATGTGAAGAAAGAAAATGGAGGACATCTGACATTCACTACTCTATGTAGAGATGGCCAAATTCAGCATCCTATTAGAACAAAGGCTTGTGAGGCTTTAGCTCATTTTCCTCTTTCTATTTCCCTTTATTCTGGGTATGTTTCTATTCTTGATATTTGTACTTTTTTTCATTTATTGCTGGTTTATTTCAAGCTACATACTATAAAAGGCATGAACACAAACTAACTTGAAGATATGTAAAATCAGGATTCAGGGAGACGTAGTAACATCAAATGAACCAAAATGGATTAATCATACTGAGGTATCCAATTCAAATTTGTCTCATGTGAGTACAACTCTGATTTTTTTTCATTTATTTATGCCTCAAACTTAAAGTCTTTACTGAACTCTCAACATTGCTTGTAGAAATGTTTTAAATTGAATTTCTTCCCCTTGGCAGGAATTAAAGGGTACCTTAGTGTTGATCCCAGTTGCTGGTGGACTGGTTGAGCTCTACAATTCAAAGCTGGTAACAGTCGTTCTCTCTTCTGTTTTAAAGTTAATGCAAGTTGTGAGATAATATAGTTCTGATAAGAACTGTATTGATTCAGAGGATTCATATAGCCTACCTCAACTAATTTTGGATTGAGACTTAGCTAATTAATTAATTTGGCCATACAATATGCACCAAACTTATAGTATAACCACTCATCTTACATTACTTGCTCTGGACAGATATATAAAGATCAAAAGACAATTGATTTCATTATCAATCGGTTCAAACTTGGTTCAGAAAAAGGCAGTAGTTCCAGCGCAAAGAAAGAAGATCAAGCTCTTGATTCCTTTCCCTTTGAGAAATTGAGCTTTTGTGCTCCTCCCCTTCATTATACAAGTGCACCTCTTATTTCTCAAGTATCTGAATCTAGTGCTAATCCTAGCATTCAAGGATCACCCACTGGTTCCATTCCTTCAAATGAACTTACCTTGTGTCATTCAACTTCTGATCATCTGTCGCGGAACATACCTTTAAGCCAATCTAGTGACGGGCATTTTGAGCACACTGAGCTTCAGTGCAGTGGAAACTTGTCAAGAATGGAAGGTGCTGTTTTTCCTTGGAACCAAGAAAATTATATAATTGCAGGAGATGTCTACCCAATGGGTAAGAAAAAACAAAGAGGACCATATCAGTCGAAGAATCTTGTCACGGAGAGAAAACGAAGGAACAGAATTAAAGATGGTCTTTTTGCTCTTCGAGCTCTAGTTCCCAACATCTCTAAGGTTGCTAATTAAGTTACTTATTTGATATTTAAGCATGTAGTTCAAAACTTGATACCGTCTTTGTTGGTGTTTCTTCAGATGGACAAAGTTGCAATACTTGGAGATGCAATCGACTATATAAATGAATTGCAAGAAAAAGTGAAGTTATATCAAGCTGAACTCAATGAAATAGCAGCAGGAGTTTCCAACAATGAAAGTTCTGAAGTGGTTCTATCAGACGTGAGTGAAATGTCCAAAGTTACCGGACCAGCAAATGAGAAAACACAAATTTCACTTAATACAACTAAAAGGACAAGAATGGAGGTGCTTGAAGTCGCTACATTTCTTAATTCTCTTATTACTAGATTTCACTGTTCTTGATTGAAGCCATATGTTTCCTTATATTGCTATAAATTAATCTGCATGATGTTTTTATTTTTTGATGAAGGGGCAAGTGGAAGTGAACCAAATTGGTGCAAGACAGTTCTTGTTGAAGGTCTTTGGATCACATAAACCCGGAGGATTTACTCAGTTGTTGGAGGCTATGAATTCCTTAGGACTTGAAGTAGTAAATACGAATTTTACCACTTCTGGAGAGGAGATGTTGAGCATTTTCATAGCAAGGGTAAATTTCATTTCTCAATAACTGCTGAAATAATTACCATATACTGAGAAATGCAGCTGCAATTATATCGGATCCTCCAAAAATCCATAATATTTGGAGGATCATACACGCTTGGGGCAACATAGCACATTATTATGTGATTTGACTTCAAGATTTATCTATCATGTCTTTTTTAGGGCTAAAAGATAATGCTTCATGTTTGATTTGAAGGAATTTTTTTTTCATTATCGGTGTATGTTAACCAATTATAACATGTTACCTAACTACCCTCTTTTTTAAATCAATGAGGTTTATTATAAATCATTTAGTTGGCTTTTAAGTAATCTGATGATGCAGAATTTGATGTTTCCACATGCTGACATCCATTTGCTTCTTGCAGCCAAATGAGGACAGAGTTGTTGAAGCACAACAGCTGAGATCCTCACTTATTGAGCTGATAACTTTTTGTGGAGCTATATATTCTGCTTAGCTTGTAGATCAATCATTTGACTTATTAGCTACATAGCTTCTACAGACAAATCATTTGACTATGTATAAAGATAGAGGATAATCTCGACTTTTGAACTATATATATGAATTGAAAATTGAAATCTAGGATTGTACTATATAATTTGGTATAAATATTCAATGCGGATAAGTTTTTATTGTGATTTGAACCACTGTCATTTCAATTTTCAAGGACATTAGTACTTTTGACCGTGGAATCTCTACAAAACTAATGTCTGACTTTGACCGAGTAAATAAATAAAATTGAGAAGTAACTTTAACACACCCTTTCCCAAATTTGCGTCAATTGGCTATCCTCATTTTATTTTCTATTACTTTTAAAACATCTAAAAGAAGACAAAATCCTTGTTTGACAATTATACTTCTGAGTGCTGACATCCAGGAATGTGTGATGAGGAAACCTTAAGCAAAACTTGCTTCCAAAGTAAGCAAGAAGAGTTTCTTACTTTCTTTTGGATTGCTTCACGTACTACTCTATTAAAGTATTAATAACTGTTTTATTATTCTATTTATATTTAGGTTTACAAAAGTCTTTAGTGAAAGGAACTGGCTGACTTTGGGGATGGACAGTAATCCAGTATTTATTGCTTACAACTTTTTGATCGTGCCTTTATGAGAAAGTAATATATCGTGCTACTATAAAATAAAATAAAAAGAATAATATGCTATATTAGGACTTCAAATACGTGTTAATATCTCCAACTTATGATTTGTGATCAATGAGAAAGGCTTTTGAAGAGTCAAGGGTTAGTTAAGGAATTTTAAGATGTTAATAAGACTAAATATACACAATTGAACAAAAAGGCTAGCCCCGCACGTTGGGTGCGCTTGGGCATACATCCAGACGCTTAAGGTATAAGTGTCGAGGGACAAAAATCCCACACGCACAATCTGCCCAAGGGCATTTTGCGAGTGCCTCGCCTCTGGCGAGCCCCAATTCTAAGAAAGAATCTAACAAAATAAAAGAATTGAAAAGACATAAAGGATAGAATATAAAGAGAGATATGGAAATGTTGAAAAGTAGGGAATAAGACATTAGTAGGATGGTAATGGATTAGGTATAGGTGGAAGGAGATGAAAGCTGACGCTTAAGTAATATAATGATAGCTAAGGGCTTTCTTTTTACCGATTTGAAAGGAAGAGTGTATTATGGTGAAATACAAGACATATCAGAAGGAGATACGGCGTTAGCAAAATCCAATACACAATATCCCAATGGGGCATTGTTGAAATCTGCCACTAAAACATTGCGTCTGAAACCTCCCCATCATGTTGTAAAATAATCTCCATAGTTAAACCCGATTTCAATGAAGTATGTTAAACTAGATGAATAATATTTGTAGTCAAAGGCAGGGCAACATTTTTTGTCTATAGATATTAATTATTTTAACCATGAAAAAGCTATTTATAGTTTTACCACTCATTGAAGAGGAAGGCTTTTTTACATTTGAAAAAGGTTTTTTTTTTAATACTTTTTATACAATATTTAAAACTTATTTACTAATTGTCCATGTCACGAACCAAAATCCACTAAGGGTCGTGATGGCGCCGGACACCATTGTCAGGCAAGCCAATACTAAATAACTAGTAATTTCTCGTTTTAGAGCTTATTGAAATCGTTCCTTCTATACATTAAACAACAAATAATGAAATTTATTAAAATAAGGAAATGTCTTTAACCAATTTAATATTGAACAATCCTATAACCATCCCAGAACCCGGTGTCACAAGTGCATGAGCTATCTCTAGGAAGCAATATAATACAACAACCGCCCGGAATACAAATTGGATAGGAAGTAAATATAATAATCTGAAAGAGACTCTGCCGGCTGCGGGTCGTCTCGAGAAGTGCAGCTCACCTAAGTCTCTGTATCAACCATGCCGCTACGCCCACTAGGCCACTAGAAATGCATGTGCCTGTGCAACAAAAATGCACAGCAAGTGTAGCATGAGTACGAAAACAACGTGTACTCAGCAAGTATCCCGTCTAATCTCGAAGAAGTAGAGACGAGAGGTCGACTTCGACACTTGCTAGTGGTCCAATAATAATATAGTGAAAATGTGAGAAAATCATGGATTTATATAACAACTATAACTCATAAAATCGGAAAGCAGGAAAACACCTTCTCAAATAATAAAGGATTTCCAAGATTTACTTTTCATTATCTTTATCAATTTATATCGGGCCAGGAAAGGCAAATATCAACACTTAAAATTCTCAGGCAAGTAATACAAGCATGCGTGATAACTAGGGATTTTGATGCATTTTATACTCCTTCTTGCTTACGCTTTGATCATAAATTCATATAAATAGTCCCAAAAGGCTCATAAGTTGTGCTTGATTGCAGGTTTGATCAACAAAGTGACAAGATGTCAAAGATCGGGTCAAAAAGAGGTAAACCTGCACAAGTACCAAAGACAAGACAAAACTCAGGAAAAGCAGGCCTAGTGAGGCCGCACTACACTTTGTGCGGTCCGCACTAGGGAGGTTCAGAGACTCAGAAATTAAGGCTTCAAGCAACGCGGCCGCACTACATTATGTGCGGTCCGCTGTGGATCTCTGAGGCCGCACTACCATTATGTGCGATCTGTAGAGGAGAAGATCAAAGAGATGTCCAGAGCCTAGTTTCAAGCCCATGCGGTCCATGGTCATGTTTGTGCGGACTGCGCTAGATGCCTCCGCGGCCGCGGTCCATTCTGCGCGGGCCGCGGAGCCTGAGTTCAGAAAGCCAAGACTTCAAGTCCAAGAGCCTAGTGCGGCCGCAGTCCATTTTGTGCGGCCCGCACTGACCCCGCAGGGGCATTTTTGTCCAGTTTTTCCAGCTAAGTATAAATAGGGTATCAGACATTTCCAAACTTGAGCTGCGCTCGTGAGAAGCTATTTTGTAGCCATTTTTGGCATTTTAACTTAGATTTAATGATAGATTCTCTGTATTTACTTTAGTGTTTAGTTAATATGTCTTCTTCTTCATCTATTTCTCTATTTTTATCTTCAAGCATGAGTAGCTAGACCCATTAGCTAGGGTTGTGGCTCAACCCTAGTGTGGGTAATTGATGGGTGTTGTGATTTAGGGCTAGATTGACTATGGGTGTTTGTTATTTGGGTCAATTTTATGGTTTAATTTATGAATTGGTAGTTGCAAACACTGGTTTGTGCTAAGTTGACTTGGCTCTTCTTGAGAAAGAGAGCCTAAGTCTCCAAAATTGACCCAACAAGGCATTGGTACTCAAAAAAATTGATAGTCCCAATTAAAGGGTTAAACCTCGAGAGAGTAATTACCCGACTTGAACCCTAGTTGCTTGAGCAAATTTGCCTACCCATTTGGTCTCGAGAGAGTCAATTGGGCAAAATCACTCTCTCTACCGAGAGGTGAGAGAGTGGGTAAAATCGTGCAACGATTATAGCATATTTCCCCAATCATGTCAATCGAGCCTTAGAAGCAATTACCCGTTAATTGGCCACCTAGGTGAAAGTCACTACCCTAGTGCCCCTTAATCCATTAGATACAACTTTGAGCAATTATCTCTTAGCGTAATCTAGTTTCAATCTTAATTAGTAGTCTGATAATAGTAGTATATAATATAGTAAATACCAAAAATGATTGAAAGTGACATTTGGAACAATTACACGATTCTATTCTAGGTAGATACCTAACCCCTTTCTAGCTCTCTGTGGAATTCGATCCCGACCCACAAATCGAGTAAAAGCTATTGTGACCCTCTCCCGCTACTTTTTAGTGGTGCAGAGTTGGCAGCGATCACTTTTTGGCACCATTGCCGGGGAGCTAACGGTTTTGGCTATCTATTTAGTTAGTTTTGTGTATTGTTCTTCTTTCCTTATTTGTTACTAATTTTGTTTGTGTTGCAACTCAGGTACTAATGGCTCTCAATGCTAATGACCCTCTTGGAAACGTGATTACGGGGGAGGAGGTAAATGATCTTGAACAAGATGAGGTTTTACCTCAAGCTCAACGGAGAGGCCGTCAGGCCAATACAAATGATAATAACAATATTCCAGACTCTCCTCCGGGTGATTTTGTAAAGAGGTGTGACGAGTGCCAAAGAGCGGGTGGAATTTCTAAAAGGGATGAGATGCCTCTCAATATTCTTGAAGTAGATATCTTTGATGTTTGGGGCATCGATTTCATGGGTCCATTTGTTAGCTCTTGTGGGAACACTTACATTCTAGTGGTGGTGGATTATGTCTCAAAGTAGGTTGAAGCTGTGGCTTTGCCCAACAATGAAGCCCGGAGTGTTGTTGCATTTCTTAAGAAGAGTATCTTCACAAGGTTTGGCACTCCTCGTGCAATTATTAGTGATGGGGGGTCTCACTTTTGTAATAGGGCTTTTGATTCGTTGCTTGCAAAATATGGAGTCAATCACAAAGTGTCTACCCCCTATCATCCTCAAGCTAGTGGTCAAGTGGAAGTCTCCAACAGGGAAATCAAGAGTATCTTTTCGAAGACGGTCAATGCTAATAGGACTGATTGGTCGAAAAAGTTGGATGACGCTCTATGGGCTTATCGGACGGCTTACAAGACTCCAATTGGTATGTCTCCGTATCGGCTGGTGTTTGGGAAAGCTTGCCATCTTCCGGTCGAGTTAGAACACAAGGCTATGTGGGCTTTGAGGAAGTTGAATTTGGAATGGGATGTTGCGGCCAATCTCCGTGTTGAACAACTCAATGAGCTTGATGAGTTTTGATTCCATGCCTACTCCAGCTCGTCCTTGTATAAGGACAAGATGAAGTACCTTCACGACAAATATGCTCGGGGGAAGGAATTCAAAGTTGGTGATTTGGTCCTCTTGTTCAATTCCCGGTTACGTCTGTTTCCGAGAAAGCTCAAATAAAAATGGAGTGGCCCATTTGAAGTTATATTTGTGACCCCGTTTGGTGCTCTTGATCTCAAGAACAAAAATGGTGAAGTTTTCAAAGTTAATGGGCACCGGGGCAAGCATTATCTTGGCAAGTTCGATGATAGCCACGTGGTGGCGCTTCTTCATCTAAAGTGATGTGGTGATAACATGCGTCGTGTCGCAACGTTAAATCAGGCGCTTCTTGGGAGGCCACCCATGTCTTTTTATTCTTGTTTTCTTTGATTTTCTTTGTAGTATAGGAT